CGAGTACGCCTTAGGTTGTCACGCCCACTCCGCGGTGACCCGCCGCGCCTTGGTGGGCTATGATGCAGATCCGCTGCTGCAGGTCCACTGCGGCCTCGGGGATCCAAATTTTCCCAGTGGCGGTCACGTAATACCCGTCGCTGACGCTCCATGTCACATTGGGGACGTCCTCGCCGGCAGCCTTCCAGGCTGCCTTCTGTATTTCCAGTATTTTCGCCGGCGTCGGCCAAGCGAAGTCCTTGTCTTGTAGGGGCGAGACAACAATCAGTTGTCACACTCTCGCCACCGCTGCAGGTAACGGAGCTGCCTGCATGCACCCCACCGGCTGAGCAGGTCCGCCCATACGTTCGCTTCCCCCGCCACATGCTCGACGGTGTAGGGGAAAGTCGTCATCACCATAGCCCACCGTTGAAGCTTGTGGGCTTGGTACCGAGCCATGTTGCTGTTGTAACCCAGCGGGTTAAAGATGTACAGCAAATTGCGGTGGTCAGTGAACAGTCTGAATCCCTGCTGCCGGAGCAGCAGGTACTCCAGTCGTTTGCACGACTCGACGATCGCAAACGCTTCCTTTTCCACCGTCGGCCACCGGGCACTTGCCCCGCCAAACCCACCACTCAAAAACGCCAACGGCTCGTGCCGTTGTTGTTCCACGGGCAACTCCAGGTCTTCGGGCGGGATCTGGGCGCAGGCAGCACCCCAATGAGTGTCGCTTGCATCGGTGTAAAGGCACATGATCTTGTCTGCAGATGGATGCGACAGCGGCACCATTTGCCGCAACGTGTCCTTGGCCGCTGCAAAACACGCATCGTGTTCGGACGCCCACCCGACGGCAGCCAACTTGTTCGCGCCAACGCCGTCTTCTTCGACCCACCAGCGACCTTCGCCGCCACGTCCAACAGGCTCCGCAGCGGACCAATCAGCTCCGAGTAGCGTGGAATGGAGCTCCGCATCCAATTTGTCGCGCAGACAAATTGTTGCAGATCGGCACCAGACGTTGGCGTTTCCAGTGCACACAGGCCCTGAACTCGATCAGGGAATGGGAGATCCCTTCGGCGGAAATCGCTTTTCCGCACCACGTGGCTTTCTTCAAGAAGAAATCGCACTTCTTCGGATGTAGCTTGAGGCGGAACTTTCCGCAGATGGACAGCACCTTGTCCAACAACACAAACAGCTTGTCCGAGCTGTCTGCGTACCCCAGGAGATCGTCCAACCAACCCAGG